CGGCGAAGAACATGAAAGGAAACACCAAGACAGGGACAACTACTTCGTGCAATACATACAGATGTGCATTATACATGCATGAAGGCTAATGTTCCCAGTACAAGAAAAAAAAAAAAAAACGAAACGGAAAAAAAAACTCACTCACAAGCATCCTTGTCATCTACGTCCAGAAACGGGGCAAAAAGCACCGAACCCGCATTCCTCCCTTCTTCAGCACAGATATACGGTTCCTTTTATTTGTTCTTTTCCTCTATCGCTCACCCTCGCGCAACCCCACCCCCACCCCCACCCCCCAACAACCACAAACATAGGAAGAAAGCCCAAACTCACACCACCGCCATCACCATCACCTTATTTCCCTGCCATCCGCACGTGTATGCAATCGCCCCGAGAAAAAAAAAATACGGGCACAAAAGACACCTCACACAAATAAACACACGCACAGGGACAAAAAAAACAACAACAACACGTCATACACCCACATATAATTGGCGCGGGAGAATTATATTTCCTTCTTTTCCCCGCCATCGTACCCTCCTTGTATTTTATTTATCTTGACTTTTCGCCCGATTCTCTTTCTCTGCTGTTTCCTTTCCTCGTTTGTGTCGGCGCCATGTGCGGGGGCACGACTTCGTAGTGGCTAGAAAAGCCGTTGTACTCGCCATGCATGAACAGCTCCGTCCTCCCGGGAGGGAGGAGAAGGTCTATGCGACATCGCCCGGATGCCGCATTTGTCACAGTGCACACCGCCGCACCAAGGGCTTCAACAGTGCTCTCCCGCCCAAACGTAACGGTGACGTGCATGGTGTAGCTTGCCGTGTCGTTGTAATACGCCCACGTATGGTGCCGTTCGTCTACAAGACGGAATAGAAGGCCATTGCCCGCCGCAAAGCAACTAAAAATTTTGTCATAGTGAATTTTATTAGATGGACCTGGTCCAGTAAAGGATGGCAGGTCATTTGCCATTGCCGCTACAGCGCCACCCCGACCCTCCGGGAGGAGACCGCCAGCAAGCGGCTCCTGCCGCAGCGTGTTTGGATACTCACTGCCGGTAGAGAAGACACCCCCACCATTGCCACTTTTACTGTCAGATTTAGTTGTGTCAATGACCCCCTTCTGGGGGGTGGGCAACCGCACGACTTGTTCAGAGTGACACTTGGCCCCCCCGTCCCTCTCGAGGCTTCTCCTGGAGCCAGAGTGGTGCTTCGCCGAGGCCACCTCCAGGGAAGTTAGCCGGGCCGCACTGCCACTCCGACGCGCCATCACCGCCCACTTCGCTTGCTTTCTGTGCTCTCCCCCGATTGTTACCGCTCCTGCCTGTTATGTTAGCGGCACTCAGATTGGGCCCCCAGCGGCAACAAGAAGAAGAAAAAAAAAAGAACAAGTCACAGCCCCTCCTCACACACACAATCACAATCATACAGCAACATACTGCCAATACATGTAGAGGTGTTAGAGTGTAGGATATAGCATGGCCATCGCAGAGACGGAGCCATGTGATGTTGGGAGTAGCCGCTGCGAACGCCGCGCCACCCACACATGCAGACCACCATGGAAAATGTGTACTACGTATACGGTGAACAGCTCGAAACCCCCTGCCATAAAAAAGAAGAGGACAAAAAAAAAAAGGCAAAAAAAGGATTTGTGTACGTGCAATTACACAAACACACACACTTGATCCATATCATTGCTATCAGTTATTTATTTTTGCTCCTCCTCCCTCTCACGCTCTTGTTATGCCTCCCCTCGTTCGTGCAATACAAATATATAGATGTATTGCATGCATGCAGAAACAAACATGAGGCACGCGCTAGGCGTGTCGATCGGGCATCGACATCTTTTTGCTACCGTACAATTGTAAGGAACCCCCACCCACCACACCACACAGTGGGAGAACGGGATGAAACAAGGCCGCAGCAGGCTGCTGCTTGAGGCGTATGCGCGTTTGACTCGAGTTCCTGCCTCCTGCTCCTGAGAGAGGCAAGGATGGAGAGGCCAAGGCATCCTCCACAAAAAGAGCATCGGCTGTTACCGACAAGGTCGTGAGAGAGTAGTGATAGTGCTGCACGTCCATGTAGTTTACAGAATGGAACGAGGAGCCAGCACCCCCGGTGTCAGACACCACTCTCTGAAAGAGAGGCTGTTGCAACTTTCGATCATCCCACATCATCACAACCCCCCGTTCTCCACCGTGCCCTGTCACCAGACCGTGCGGATAGCGACAGGAAAATCCAATGTGCAGGCACAAGGGTTTGTGGTCACACAAACGCCGCTTCTGCTGTTGGAGGGGTTGCCCCAGCGATGTGGGATCTGGCAATACATGGGTGGAACGAGTCGGATGCCGCAGGTCATAAAGGTAGACAGAGCCTGCACCCACAGCCAATGTAAAGACGTCGTAGGGGTGTGAAGCAAGAGCAGACAGTGAATCCAAAAGTTCAGCGCGTCCAGCTCCTTCCAAAACTCGCTGCTCACAGTTTAGGTCCCATGAGGTAATGGATCCATCGGCGCTGCTCAAGTGCAGCAGCATTGCTGGCGCGTGGTACGAAGAAAGGCACTGATGACTCCGAAGAGACTCTTCGTGAGTCATGGTCAGAAAGGTGGTGACGCGCCGTATGGTTGCCGCATCGGTGTATGCTGAGAAAAGTTGCACAGAGCCTGAGCGGCCCACGGCGCAGAGCAATGTGCGGTAGGCGGAGTCAACCAGGTGCAGCCCAGTGAGTGGATCAGCCCCCTTGGCCCCAGGTCCCCCATAATCGTTTGGCCCCAGTAGTCCCCTTCGCCGTGGCGCCGTTGTATCGGGGGCTCTACTAACGCTGCCAGTCATCAACTCTTCGCCAGACAACCCTGACTGACTAGCACAGTGCGGCGATGCCGGCTGCGTGCCGTACATGTACCTCAAAACTGTCGAGGGGGGCATGGCGCATCCCGGCCGTGCCACCACCCCTGAAAGTTGAATCTGCGCGACCAGCCGGCAAGGCTCACTCGACGCTGGCGAGGGACCAGAGGAGGAGGTGGTTGACGACGCCAAAGATACACCCTCCAGTCCCGCAAAAGACCAGACCTGAATAACTCCCTGGCTTGTTCCCGTTATAAAGTGCCGCTCCGTGGGGTGAAATGTCAATACCTGAATACGACCATTGCGCTCAACTAGCGTGGACATCTCCGCCAGAAGCTGGAAGGGAGGTTGACGATCTGTCGGCCACACCGTCGCGGGGTCAACACCAACATTCGTTGACAAGGTCACAAGGGGGAGAAGTGAGAGAGAGTGGCCTCGTGTATCATCCTCTTGAGATGGCACGGGAGGACTCAACGGATGGCTCCAGTGCGACGGGAGAGGTAGAAACCACGGGAAGGCGACGACATGGCCCTCGTACCCACGAGGACCGTAGCTGGGGGACGCCGACACACGTAATTCGTCGCGTAGTCGTCGCAGATACTTGAGCAGGTAGGCGTCCTTCTCAAGGTTAAAGGGGTGTCTGGGATCATGGTCATCCATGGGCACCAGCAGCAGCTCCCCAAGAAACGAAAGCAGCGTAAAAACGAAGGAGGAGATCGCCAAGTTGTTGTGCACAGAAACGGTATGCAGCGAGATGTTAACGTCCGACACGGCTGTACTTCTGCCCAAGGCACCGCCCGCTTCCAGCGTCTCCTCTAACTTGTTTTCGGTCTCCACACCTGGTAGCACTTGACCGCCTTGACAGCCGTCTCGAGGGGTCGGATCCCCTCCACGCGACGTCAGCGTGTTCAACACACCTGAGAAAAAGCTTGCAATCACGGAATTGCGGGAGGCGCCGGCTGCGTCAGCACGCCCGCATGGGGCATTGTCTAAGGTTTGCAAAAACGGCACATGCTGCACGTGGAACATGGAAAGTTCATCCCTAAGCACCTTTTGGGCGTGGGCTGCAACCAGGGGGCATGGGTCTATTGTCGAAACGGCGAGGCGGCAGGTGAGTTTTGCCAGCATGCGCAGCAGCTCATCCACACTGTTGAGGGTGGAGGCGGCCAAGCCGGACTCGGCTGGGGACGAGGGCGAGCCGTGGCGAGCATCGGGGCCAAAACCACCCGCATCGTCCTCGCCAACTTCATGGGTCAGGGAGCCAAAGACTGTGCGCCACATTTTGGTCAGCTCCTGTCGCACCTTTCGCCGTATCTCCCCCAGTGGGAGCAAAAAGGAGAGATGACTGATTAACCACTTAATGGCTACGGACAAAGCACCAACAAGCTCAAGACGGTTATCTGTGTTGGCCTCAAAGGGCGTCTTTTCCACCGTGGCCATGCCAGTGATGCTGCGCACGCACATGATCGCGGTTTCATCATCCGTGAGGTGAGACAGCAACACCACTGTGATGGCCTTAATAGCTGTTCCACGTACCGCCGAGGAATTTGCTAGCAACAATGCCTGCAAGGCGTTAATGGCAGTGGGGAGATGTTCCCGCAAAGCCAATGCATCATGCGACTCTTGCTGCAGTTGCTGCTGAGGGGCCTCTTCCGTTTCATCGGCCCCCACGACAGAAAGAGCCCCCTCCCAGGTGATGGCCACTAAAAAGGCGATGAGACCCAGCAGGTGTGTCGTCATCAGCAGCGGATTGCTGTCCGGCTCATCAGGAGCGCAAGCGTCCCAGACGCTCCCCCTGTCTCCACCCCCCGCCCTCGCCACCTCAGACTTATGCTCGCTTGGCCGGACGCATGGGGCTTTTGCAGCCGCATCCTGTAGGAGTTTACAACACACACGGAGGGCGTCACGCTCTCGACAGCGACGTCGGGCTCCTCTAGAGTGAAGGCAAAGCATGGTGAGCAGCGCCGCCGCGAGCAACTCCTGACCGCGTGCTTCTGCCCAAGGCCCAAGAACGTCGCACTGCCACGCACCAGCCTCCCCTGTGGACCCGGCAGGAACCTTCAGAGGGTGCTCCAGAATTTCTATGCAGGTGTCAATAATTACGTTGCGCTGCGTCGTGTTCGCGTCCCCCAACAAGGGATCCGTGTGACACGCTTTGGCGTAAACAAATAACATGGCTGGTAGCAGATGACGCAAGTCTTTACGAGTCCAGTAATGCACGAGTGCCATGTGAAAGATCCCTACCTCTGCGCAGGCCGTGACAGCTAAGGGACCGGCATCCACGAAGCGGCACACCAGTTCGGTGGCTTCTTCACGGTGCGACATCACCAATAACCCTTGCAGCAGCATAGGCAACCGCACAATGTGAGGGAAGGGTTTCGTCACAATAGAATTGCTCCCATACTCAGGGGTAGTATTCACCCGGAGAAACAACAGAGGACCGTCATCTTCCGTGCGAGATCGTCCCCTGGAAGTGACCGAGCCTCCAAGGGGCTCGGGTTGTTGCTGATCGACGCCTACGAGTCGAGAGAAACCTTGCTCCGTAATGCGTTCTACCGCGGCGGCCAAGCAGGAAAACTCCTCCCCAAGAAAGTCTGGTACAACGACGCGACAATCACCCAAGGACGGCAACGTCATAGAGCCTTTTTCGTACTGCCAACGCGTTGCGTTCCAGTCCAACCACTCACGAAACTCCAAGGCGTTTAACACCGGCGGCGGCGTTGGACGAACCGCTCGCCAAAGTGAAACGAAGGTGCGATCAACAACATTATCCAGTGTATCCCACAACGTGTGGTCGCTTGTGCGTGGTAAGGGAGGGTAGACAGTCACCTTTGCCCCCAACGCGGTAATAATGCGGTCCGCCAACAGAAACCCACGAAACAAAGGTGCAACCACCACATCCCCACGAAAAAGATGCATAAATAAGGTATGAGGAAAGGTAGACCATGCAATGCACTCTGTGATTGACATGAAGGCCCAATGAAGTACACCAAGTGGAGTTTTCTTGTCGTTCAAGTCACCTGGAAGCAGATACATCAAGAGAGGATGGACATCCGCCGTCTGGGCATTCTCCACAATAAACCACAATAGCGCCATACGCACCGGTGTCGTTAGGCAGGAGGTAAGAATATCAGACGGCAGTTTGGGGTGTTGCGGGAGGGCACCATCCTCGGAGACTCCAAGAAAAAAAAAGTCGTCGAACAGCAACGGGGGCGTGGATGACGCTGCAGCAGAGCCCAAGCAACGCAGAGTAGATAAGAATGCCGCACTCGAAGAGGGCGTCGCCGCGGTGGTGCCTTCCATGCCAGAAACAGAAGCCGCTTCATATCGATCCAAGCTTGGCACCATCAAGTATGGACGCTCAGGCTCCTCCAACGCGGATACACCAATGCTCGGTCCATACTGTCGGTAGCTAAAGGAATGATTGCCATCTCCCTTTTGTCGATTTTCCAAAAGGCGGCGCAGCACACTTACAGCGTTCTCACACTCTGCCACCATGATCAGCGGAAATCCAACCTGAGAACAAAATGTGTCCAGGGAGTACTTTACCGCTTCCCCACTTGGAGACTGAAGGTACAAGGATCCCCCGCTCGGCCGCGGTACCCCATGACCTCCATAGTGCACAAGAACCCTGCTTTTTGAGCCTGCCTGATGACGGCATTGAGCCAACGCCCGCATAAAGTCCCCTGGCCCTGCATTAAGGCAATGGCTTACCATCAATGTCCTCTTGGAGAGGGATCTATACTGATTTTCAAGCTGTTGACCAAGTTGGCTCAAAATGTTTAACTTGTCACCTGGCAGAAGAGCGGGTGCTCGCCACGCGTACAGACGCGAAGCTTTGGGTGACGCCTCTTCTCGCCGCTCATTCTCATTCTCGCCGGACCAAAGAAGCGGGCTGATGTTGAGGCTCAACACCAGTGCCGCCGTGGTTGTGGGTCGCACCGTCATGTGAGCCGCCACAGTGCGGGTGCGGTACAGCGATCCCCGCGAAAGTGCCTCCTCGTCCCATCGCTGAAAATGAAGACTCTGGTGAAAAAAACCTTCCTGCACCATTCTGCCCCAGCGCTGCCGCTCCCTCGCCTCCACTTCAGCATCTGTGCAGGGTCGCAGAGGAATAGTCTGCTCGATATCCGCTTCGTGAGATACAGATCCAGCTGCGTCCTCCTTGAGAACGAGTGACAGCGCTGAGATCCCAATCCGTGGCCGCGATGATTTCTCCTCGGAAGCCATAGCCCCAGAAGTGGAGACAGTGTGGCAGGCAGCGTGTTACCTGAAATTTCAAAGTTGGTAGCCACACACACACACAAACACGCACGCACGCACGCAATTGCACGCCCAGTGAGACGGCAGGTGAAGAGACGGCGCGGGGATGTTCCCCTCTCGTGTGCTGCACAGAAGAAATGGAGGGGGAAGGAAAAAAGGCGAGAGGGCACTAAAACAGAAATCAATGGGGAGACGTATCCCGTTGACCGACTGTCCGCAGCAAGCCCCCTGTATAAGTGCAGTGACCTTCCTTTTTTTTATATCCTTGACTTTCGCCACCTTCTCCTGTAGGTGTTAACTTCTAGTACTACGTGGGGGTGTTGTTTGCTGCTGGGCCCGCCCTTCCCTTCTCTCCAGGCGCTCTCCGCTGGCCTCGCCTCGGCGGACCGCACCCACCGACAGCAGCACGACATCACGTGAAAAAAAAAAACGTAAAAAAAAGGAAGAAAAAGAGAGGCAGTGTCGGTCACAGGTACGCAGGCACGCCGGTATACATGCAGGATGCCACACACACACACACACACGCACAACAAAGAAACCTCCGGGTTAAGTCATATGCACAAATGTGCCGGAAAAACAAAAATAAAAAGAGCGCCGTAAACAAAAAAAAAAAAAACAATACGAAAAATACAATGGTACATAAAACAGGGAAGTTAAGGCGTCACAGAACAGTCGGCACTTTGAAAATAGAAATATAAATATAATCAAGGCAAAGTAAACACACACACACACAGGGAAAAGCGAATATAAAGCTATCTGCTGTAGTAAATGTACCCATCGATTAGCACTCACTTACTTTGTCCACTGCGGCGAAGGGACATTTATACATACATTCCCTTTGGGTCTCTGTTCCGCTTCTCACCACCTACAAGCATGCACGCCACAGTAACTGTTTGACCGATGAAGCCTACGATGAGGGCAAAAAAAAAAACTTTAAAAAAATGATGTTCTCAGTGGACGGAGCGGCAAAAAACCTTGTCAAAAAAGAAAAAAAAAAGTAAAAAAAAAACCAGCAGGAAAAATTTGGTCATGACTAGTGCAGCAGCAGCTCTGCCGGCTGGCTCCTCTGCTCATTCCACGCTGGGATTGATGTTTAGGACGCCCTGAGCCGCGTGCGTGCTGATGCCTCCTTCGACCGCCTCCACGTTCGGTCCCCCTGCCTTAGGCACCGACGTTCAGCAAAAACCTTCAGCACTCTGTGTTCTGCGGCGTCGCAGCCTCCGTCGCGTGTTCCACCGTTGCTCATGGCCTCCCCGATTCATTCATACAACAAAAAGGAGCCCTTATTTTACTGCCTCTTTTCCCGTTTCTATTCGCACTCGTTTTCTCTCACATAGCCACATTTACAACACGCACTTATTGTTTGTGTTGTTGCTGATGATGATGATGTTGTTTCTTTTTTTTCTTTTTTATTATTTCTTTCTTGCCGCTCAGCGCTGCGTTTATTCTCTTGCCAGGACGTGTACTGACGCCCCCTCCCTCAAAACTCATTTCGATTCCGTATTTTCTTCTCTTTTGTTGCCGAGTAAGGAAAAAAGAGAAGCTTTTTGTTGTGTGTGTGTTTTTTTTTCTCTCTCTCTCTCGGATTTCTGTATTGTTTTTTCCAGCCTATCCCACACTATTCCGCCATGTTGGTGTCATAAGACCCATATATTTATTGTTGCGGTCTTTTTGCTCGCGCAGACGGAAAACCCGCCCATCCGTAGACGTCCGCGCCTCGAGGGTGTCGATGTCCCACCCGGTGACTTGCCCCTCCACGAACATCTCCGTGGTGAGGGGGGCGATGTCCACCTCCACGACGTGCCACCTCTTTTTGTCACTTTTGCCGTTCTCAGGGCCCGTAGTGCGGTGTAAGGTAGCGGAGCCGAGCGGCACAATATGGCTGTCGTCTTTGAAGAGGATGGCGACATGCATGGTGTATTCAGGGGAGTCGTTGTAGAAGCCCCAGCGCTTCTTGCGGGGGTCACACAGGCGGAAGAGCAGGCCGTTAAACATGGGGTACACCTGCGTCGCCCCTTTAAAGGTCGGTGTCCCGTTCTTGTAGTTAGCCTTCGAAAGAAAAAGGCCCATTTCACCGCAACCCAAATGTGTTTGCACCACAAGGAATAGGTGGACCGATGCGCACCGCCACAACAAGTGATGTGAATGAAGGGAAAAAAGTAAAGTTGTCTATTGCCTTCTTTTGTGCGGCTTGCACCTAATAACTGGTGCCTGTGTGAGGAAAGAGGAAACGGTGAAAAGAAGGTGCGGCTAGGGAGGTCAGAAAAAAGATAAAAAGAGGGGGACAGAAGAAGGGGGGATGTGGACAGAGGGCCAAGAAGCGACACACGCAGCCACACCGAAGTGCGAAGCGCACTAAGCAGCAAAAAAAAAAAACAGGATCAAGGGAAAAATAAAAGACAAGGGAAAGGCACAAAAATATCCAGACAGGCAGCGGAGTTGAGTAAAGGTGCGTGCAGCAGCCCGCAGCAAGTGGCCTTCGTGGGCGGAGCCCCCTGCGCTTAGTTGCTTCGCTGGTGATTGCAGGAGAAATAAACAGCAATATCATTTTGTCGCGGTCTCTCGCTCCTGCTCCACCCCCACACTCGTTTTTCATCTCGCTCAGCTGGTTCGACTCAGCAAGCCAGAGCCGTCCACGACTGCAGCCACATTTCCACCACCCTGCATAAAACCTGGAGAGCCACAACACTGCCCCGCGCTGCCTCTGCCACACGCACACACACAAAAAAAAAAAGAGGGAGAAGAGTAACCACAAAAATAAACATGTCATAATGAATGTGCGACGTCGCGCCGCCACCAAACCAGCAAGGGAGAGGGGGAGAAGGAAAGCAAAAACACGGGTGGACAAAGAACAGGGGGTAGTAGACAACACACAGGGAAAGACAGGAAAAAAAAAAATCTAAACACGTTTATGGTACATAATTTGGCGTGACTGCCCGGAGAAGTAAAATACCAAATGTTATTGCTACCACTGCTCTGCGGGGGCGCACATCACAAACTCTCACCGCCCAAAAGCAAACCAAGCAAACAATAGAGAGGGATGTATACGTAAATACAAGTGACATAGAAAATAAGTCAGAAACAAGAGAGGGGCCAGAGGAGAGAGACCCCAATTCCTCTACACACTTCTCCATCGCCCTACATCCCTCCTCAAGTGAGGAATTACCTTCTTTTGACCTCATGCTGTCCGTGGCTTGTGTTCTTTAACACCCCGCTCCCTCGCCACACAATCACCGCGGAAGCGCAGTGCAACTTTCACGCATGACTCGGAATGTGAGAAAGCGCAGCAGACGCAGCAGTCGCTCTTCTCACGGCTGTGCGCCGCCTTTGACACAGCATCACTGGAAACAAAAGGCAAAACAAAAAACAAGTGAAACCCCCAGAAAGGAGTAAAAATACGGCAAGGAAAGAAGACAGGATTATATGTATTATATATGTATATCAAGCAATTTTTTTTTTTCAAGACAAAGCAAACGAAGAACCCTTCTTAGTTGCAATGAGAATGTGTTTGTAAATATCACAGTGAGGGCGGAAGTGAAAGAAACGTTTCTATCTTCGACAGCACACAGATGTCACCGCCTGCGTCCAAAAAACACCGGTCGTTCATCGTTTTTTATTGTTGTTGTTGTTGTTGTTTTCGTTCTTTCATCCCATTATCTCCCTTGCGGTGGCTGTGGTTGTCGTCTGCTTCTTCATGCACGCACTGCTGCCCCATCCGCCCCTAAAACCAGGAGGCGCTGGGGGGCGCGAGACGGCGGAGGTATGCGTGCTCGTTAATGTTTGGGTGGGACTGGAAGTAAATGTTGGAGAGGGGAAGAGCCTCAATTTTGCTTTCGTATCTGATGACGTCGCCGACGATGAAGCGCTGCGTCTTCAGCGGGTAGACCACCAGCTCGCACCGGACGCCATCGTTCTGGGTCTTAACGGTGGTTTTGTCCAGCGGACGAACCACGCTGCCCGCGCTCAGCAGGTAGGTGATGTGAAACTCGTAGTCCCTTGAGTTGTTGAAGAAGGCCAATGTACGGGTGGACGTGTCAATGATGCGAAGCAGAAGCCCGTTAAAGAGCCACGTCTCCAAGTTACCGCGCATGTTGGGGGTGGCAAGCAGCTTGTGCTGACCAAGCTTCGAGAAAAATAAGCCCATGCCTTGCTTCGGTGCTAGTCACTTTTTTACGGGTTTGCTCGCTGATCTGCCGGTTTTTCCTGCTGCCGTTCGTGCACAACCTTCCCTCTTTCTCTTTCGTTTTCTGTATTTCTCTTCTTGATAGATTGAGCTCTTACCCCTGCCTTTTTCCCAACGAAACGGAGGAGCAACACACGCGACCTTGCGTAGAAAACTCTGCAGCTTTCTTCTCTTCTTCCCTCGTGTGTATGCGTGAGGTGCAAGAGGCGCCGAAAAAAAAAAAGATGGAGATGTGCAGCAGCAATATTTTTGCGGGGTTGTTCAGAGCGAACAAGAGACAGACAGATAGACGACAATGGAGTGCGTGCGTAGTTGGCAGCCGGAGTTCTACAGCCAGCAGAGCCTCCACCAATGACAGGCGATAACACATCACGTAAAAAAAGGCAAAAAAAAACGGGACAGCAAAGTGAGAGGAAGAAATGTCATTGGTTTGACACCGCGCTGCACGCCTCTTCATAGATGCCTGTAGCCGGGCAAAATAAGAAGAAAGGGTAAAAAAGTGTGTGTGTGTGTGGGGGGGGGGGGGGACTAGTCGGCCAGTGCATTGGAGGCCTACCGTACGCATCTGTTTGTAAACGTTGAAGGAAACGTGGGCAGAGAGGCTATCGGGGAGGCGGCCTGATACTGGCATCTCACGGATGTCTCAGACATCACCTCAAATTGCAGGCTGCCAGCAAAAACCTTTTTTTTTTGCTGGAAGACTCACCAATTTGGCTTCCACAGCGGCGGCAGTGGAACCCAACGGGTGTCAGAAAAGCCTCTCCACCGCAGCGTAGCCCTCTGCCAGTATTGTCAGCACACACACAACACCTTGACCGCCCGTGAAACTAACCCCCACAGGTCATCAGCCGTGGAATGCCACAAAGGACGCGAGACTCTCCCACAACTGTCTCTGACGGTATATAATTCATCGATTGATGCCAGTCGCATAGGGCCTGATTCTCCATATCTTTTTTTTTCCCCCCCCAACCAGCAAACAAAAATCGGGGAGAAACCCCAGATCCAAAAACAGTGCCAGCTCCTCCATGCACCAGCACAGGAGCTCCTCACTGGTGGCAGCCCCAGTGTTTTTCCTGTCCTGCCTTTTTCCCCTTTTCTGCAAGCAAAGCATATGCATATATACCTGACCCCTCATCTCGCATGAATGGCTCGCATGCCCGGGGCACAGGCAACCATAAAGGCACGACTTACATGGCTTAGTCTGATGCCCTCCTCGTACCGCTGCACATCGCCGGATACAAACTCCTGTGTCTTTCCTGAGTGCACCACAAGGCGCAGCTCTGCCAGTCCATCCGAGCGCTCACGCAGCGTTGTCAAACCCGGTGACTCGCCGTGCAAGGAAACACCAAATACACAAACTGCCTCCAGTTATTACATAACAGTGTCATTGTAGAAAGCCCACAAGCTCCCGTCCACACTCAGAATTATATGGCAAAAGGCCACACCATCCACGCCTGTGAGCAGAGGAATCTGTGTCACATCATCACCGCTGCGCAACGCTGGATAGCCGCGTTTGAATCAGTCACTCCCTCTGCCTTGATAACTATACATTTGCGCCGGAAAGGGATTTTCGTCCGTCCTGCTGGGGCCATAGTAACCCATGAGATCCGCGGTGTGGCGACTTGAAGCAGCAGCTGCTGCTTCAAGAAGCGAGTCGTCCAAAATGGTAACAAGCAATGGTTAACCAGCTTGAAGCAGACTACAATGCGACATCAAATCTGACAGTCTCCACTGCAACGGGTTGTCATGACCCTTGTCATTCATTCTCATTTGCTGTCTGTTCTTTGTTAATTCCTTTGGAGGAGGTGGTGGCGGCAAGAGCAGAAAAACTTGCGGCAGTGACGTTGACACGAGTTATTAGGGGGTCAGAGTCATTACGATCTGCTCGTGGTAATACTGTCCCCCTTTTCAGCAGAAACTCCACCGCCCATCTCCACAAAGCTGCGTGACCGGGAGCGGAAAAAAAAATATCACACCCGTATTGGTAGCTTCCCCCGCGAGATCTGTATAATGTAGCCACCCCGCACCCACTCACTCACTCGCGGTAGACAGGAGCAAACCAAACGGAAGGCCCAAAATGAAAAACTCCACGAGACACCACACAGCCTTGGACGCAGCACCTGCGTCGCATGCCCGGCAGACTGGGACCGTGCCCGTAGCCAACACGAACTGAAAAAACAAACCAAGTGAAGAAGCTTTGGTACCCCCTTTACTTCTGTTGGACAGGGAACGAAAAGGTTAGGGAGTTACGGAGTGAAAGGGCAGGGCTTGTTGCCTACTGGTCTTTTCCCTTGCCTGTGATGAAACAAACGATAATGCCAGCAGAGTAAAAGGGGAGAGAAGACGACACCGAAAAAAAAAAAAACTGCATGGATGGAAGGTGTAGGGAGACGCGTCGGCACACACACACACACAGACAAAGACAGTGGAAGGTTACCGGGACCCGTGGCGCACACGCTGGAGCCAAGCGCTTGCAGCAACTCGTGACAGCAGCACGAGAACAGGAGCCAATGCGAAAGAAGTGACAAGACAAAAAAAAAATGTTGGGGAGGGAGCACGAGGGGGGGGGGGGGGGGGGGAAATCCCGCCGCCGCGCCCTTTGACAGGAATAAAACGCGAGCGTCGTGAGCGGCCCCCTTCCGCGCGCCTCGGTGGCTGAGCTGAAGCGAGGGGGCAGCGGATAAAAAAAAAAAACGATGAAAGACAAAGGGCAAGGCGCAAAGGTACAAAGGACAAGAAGACATATACATTTATATATATATATATATAATTAATTACACTTGTTTTTTTTC